TTCTATACGAAAGTCTACCCTCACGTATACTAACGATGTGACCACATGCGAACTCCGTCACTAGTTGATGTGGCACTCTCCGCTTTTTTGGAGGCATAGTGACCACCAATTAAACGTTTACCGCAGACAGAAGACCATAACTGATATCGACTGATCTTTACAGTCTTTTACAAGAAGTTGATAAGACGTCGGTTCACGTTCCACGCAAGCGCAAACGTTTTGTAATTCTAATCATTTGCATATCTTACCTCACTTTATATTTCATGACCTCAAATATGCTAATTAATTAGTACAGACGGTATAAGGCTCAACGTAATACGAAATAAGACACGAAAGAAGATACAAAATAAGACACAACGTAATTTCTATGAAAAAAAAAAACAATTTTTCTGACGGATTCGGATTTCTGACCTCCAAAATATAGGGGCTAGCCGCAATCTAGGAAATATGATCCCAAGAGTTTGGTCAGGAGAGCGATCCGAAGTTTGGACCCCTTTGTGTTAACTTTATATTCTGCGTATTTCGCCATATCTCGAGAACTTTATAAGCGAACTGAAAAATTTGTACTGGCAATTATGAAGTTCATTTATCCAAAGATAACACCAGTCAAAAAATAAAAATAAATAATTTTTGATTACTTTATTTAATAGTTGACAAACTTTTAAATTGTAACGCATACAATTCATTACATTATTTTAAAGAATATTATCTTACATCGGTCTAATAGTTTCTGAGAAATCGAATTTCAAAAAAGTCATATTATAAAAATTCGATTTCTCAGGAACTATTCGACTGATTCCACTCAAATTTTGTATTTTGTCATGTAAAATTATATTCTTTAAAATGACGTGAAGTACAAATGACGTATGTACAATTCGAAATTCTTTCGGCTATTATTAAATAAAATAGTAAAAAATGATAAATATTTATTTAAAGTGAATTTTCGCATTGTATTATGTTTGGATAAATGAATTTTATGATTGCGTTCAAATATTTTTAAATTAAAAGTAAAGATAATTATTGTTTCATATATTTTTTTTGAAATTTGATTTTAGTCACCAAAAATTAAGAAATTTATGTGGTAAAAAATATGTTATTGAATATAATAGAAAGAAATGAGGTTCTATATGGTGAAATCAAACCAAATTGAAAAAAATAGTCGAAATTAAAGTAATTATAATCAAAAAGAGATTAATGGGAGCGTTGGCCAGTGTCGGGTATATTGCATATGGACAGTATTGGGGGGTAGTTCAAACTAGTGCCATATCGTATTTTAATAGTAGTAACAAATTTTGTAGTAGTTTATACAATATAGAAGAAATAAGTAATTTTTATATATAATCAGTGTTTATTAAAGTAACAGTAATTATAGCAGTCCTATACTATTTTCAAATATTGATAACAGCAAATAATCATTAGTTATATGATCCATTATACAATATAAAGAGTTCCAGAGCAATATGATAATAAACAACAAAGTAAAAGCATGTCAAAAGTTTGCATGCTTAAAAACCCAATGCGCAATAAATCAAATTGAATAGAATCACTCATAATTTAGCGAAATTTTAGAATATGAGGCTTATTATAACTATCATAACAATGAACTGAAAATGATCATAGACAAAGTTTAAAAAAATATTATGAAAAAAAAATTTGAATATTAATAATTTTCAGGAAATTTTATAGATAATAATATCATTAAGAAGAAGACGAAGTAATACTGCTTTGAAATTTTACACTTTACTCAAGTCATGTTTACTTTTATTTAATTTATAAGTCTTTACCAATCTGAAAAAAGACATTCTCACATAATGCAGTAAATGAAGTAAAGCAGAATAAATATAAATTTTTAATCTTAACGGTTTAAAAAGAGGGTTTTTGATTGTTAATCTTACAGAGTATAAAAAGAATGTTTGTTCTTGACAATTCTTCGCATTTTTTCATTCACATTCAATTCTAAATTTCTCTCTTCACTTTTTGATATACAAGTTAGTGATCAAAAGGTATTAATAAATATTTCCTAGTTAAGAAATCAAAGACCACAAAATTTGGCCTTTATCTGACAGGCTGTAGCTCTAAGCATCTCGAGTTCGAAATGAAATTTTTTGGGCTCGGATATCCTAAACCGAGACTAAACTAATCTCTAGAATAAACAGTAGAACATTCCCCAAGCAGCAGGCTGAACAAAATTTCAGATTTAAAATCCAGTCATTTGACTTGATCAGTCAATCAGAGATCTTGAAATGAAAGCATTAACTTTCATTTCGATTAGTAATATTTTGTTTAGAATCGTTAGCATATTTAAATAATAGACAGAATAATAAGTACTTGAATTGCTAATAAATTCACTAAATATCAGGTAATTAGAGAATAGACATGACATTAAAGCCAGAAGAATCACGGTAGCTTTTTTTCAACTAAAATTAATAATTATAAGTTAAAAATCACAATTAAAGACACTTAAGAACTCGTAAATTAACGATAAACGTAATGTTTACATAAAAACTTTTCCAATGAACATCGGTAAATTGTCATTAATAAATTATAATTTTTTGGCGTTTTGGCCATAACGTTTGAAGCAGTTGACCGAATTTAATAAATTTTACCTATCTTTCTAGATAACCATTTAAGAAAAGGAAAAATATAATATTGCAAAAAAAAAAAAAAAAAAAAAAAAAAAAAAANAAAAAAAAAAAAAAAATCAAGCCAGTTTATTTTAACCCCAAAATTAGGGATAAAACCGAAGAAATAATGCATTTTTAAATAACAAGACTGAAATTTAACAAAATTCGTTTTTAATTTTCTTTAAGTACGCGAACTTAGATCAAGCATAATTCAGAGAAATATTCTCGATTTTTTTAATGATTTTAAAAATAATCGAGTTGTGCAAAAAGGAAAAATTTTCAAATTTAAAAAAATCAACACACTGAAGAAATCAAGACACTAACGCAAAATATTTTTAAGTACAAAGCAGCCGAAGTCAGCAATCAATTTCTATCATTATTATAAAAACTTATAGAAACTGGAAAAGACTCACCAGAACTGCTATTTCTAGTATATCAAATATAACGAATATGCTAGGCTAAGAACAGATTTACGTTTTAATGCAACTGATATCACAGGGGACCATTTTTTCTGGGGGATAGAATTAAAATGCACAGTCGAAATAGCTCTCAAAATTTTGCACCTAAGAAAAGAAAATTCTTATGTCTACTACTCATTGCTCTTTCTCGTTTTTATCTTTCACGAATATAAATCAATGGTGATTCATAAAAATCTTCTTTATTTGTCTGGAATACTGAGGGAGACACGTACCCCCACTCCTCCACTAACGATGCTGATGATATTAAAGCTGGGATTTAGAAACAGATTAACGAAACTCGCAGGAGCATAAAACCTTTGCATATTAAATATTTATATGAAAGTAATAAATCCTTTAAAAAGATAATAAAAATAACTTCATTCGAAAGTTGATCCTGTATATACGACAGAGAATTTTTATTTGTTCGTTAGGAGATCCGAATTGTAGAAGAAATATTCTACCTGCAATGATCGTTTGGCAGTAAAAGTTTCTGCACGAGGGTGCTAATGATATCTTGACTGAGAATTAGGAAAGTTCTGTAGGTATATATTGCGAAACAGTTAAGATAAGATTCTCTTTTAAAGATATTTCAGAATATCTATTGAAACCACGGATCTTTTTTTTAGGGAGCAGGTTTCTTAGAATATCCTGAATGATCTTTTATTGTGTTGTTGACGCTTAAATAAATTTAAACAACAACTGAACTTTTCGTTAATTTTATCAAAAATAAAACACATATTTATGTTTGTAAAAAGAGTGGAAAAATATACTAAGTTCTGAAAAGTTTTTCATTTTTAGTTTTTAAACTTTTTCACAAAAAATTATCGTGAATCAATGACAATGATTTATTCAGTTCAGTTCAAGTCTTAAGTATAGTTCATGTGAGCGAATTAAAATGGTACACGTGTCGTTTTTCCAACAGCCGTAATATGCAATATCAGAAGAGTAACTTGTAATATAATTCAAAACTTAATTTTAAGAAATCAAAGTTTTTGAAATAAAAAAAGCAATTAAATAGATTAATTAAACACGTCGAGTAGAAAAGTATGAGATATTCTGAAATTTATGGAATACTCATTGACGGTCTCTCGAATATTTTATGCCAAGTCAAGCACAAAGCTGTCAGAAACTCTTTAATTGAATCACCGCTACTTTGTTTAAAATTCTTTCCACGCCATTTATTTTTGTATTGAAATCTTTTTAATTCTCAGTTAAACAAACTAATATTAAATCAATGTCAACAGATTTACTGATCTGGTCTGACGGAGTCAGACCAGATGGGAATTAGCAACAACAACAATATTAAATGACAAACTTGCTTTTGAATAATCTAAAATTAGAATCCAGTTCACATTGTTTTAGAAATGACTTAGTTATATTTTAACACAGTTTTCTTTTTATGAATGTGAATTTTGATGTATTCATATTTGCTATTAAGATATTTCAGACAAATATAGATATTTTCGAGGGAGGAAATGTTACTCGCGTCCGTGAAATTCCTTAATTCACACGCGCCACCCGAGTGGTGCTAAATGAGTAACAGCTATCGGCTATGGCAGTTCGCCTCGGAGATAAATTGTAAACTGTCAAATTTAAACGGGTTGATTTTCTAATGAAGCCATAGGAAACACGCATACATTTACGAACGAAATAGTTTTGATGAATATTCGTATAATTAATCACACGTGGGATTTATGGATATGGGATTTCGATCATAACTGATTCATATAGTGATTGTATGATGATTGTAATTAATGGGCTTGTGATTCATTTTCAGCATTTTTTAAAATTAAAAATTAGGTTTTTGTGTTAAATTTTACTTTAAAGAACATGTTCAGCATTGTCTCAATACTGTTTTTATTTTATTTTAACCATAAATGAAATATTTGCATTTCAATCGATGTGTTTTATTTTCCAGAGTGTGATCTTTCACTTGGAGAGTCATCCTGACTACCCAGAGTTTATCCAGTGCGTGAGCTTCAACTTTTTTCCCACAAAATACCACAAAATGGCATACAACATATTTTGTCTCCTTGCACTTTATGGCGTCCCTCTCGTCATAATTATCTTCTGCTATTCCTGTATTTTGTGGGAAATATCAAAACGATCTCGAGATAATGATGGTAAGCATTTCCAAATATTTTTAAACCTCGTCTCATTTATATTATCGTACGCTTTTTAATTGCCATATTTTTATCAACAATTCCTATAATTTAAAGATCAGTAATTTGGTATTAATAATTCTTATAAATTAAAGATCAATTGCTTTGTATCAACCATTTGCATAAATTATTGATCACTGATTTTGTACTAACCATTCTTACAAATCAATAGTTTTGTATCAACTATTCCAATAAATTATTAATCAATAATTGGGTTCCAGCAATTCCTGTAATTATGTTAAAGGAAATAAAATACATTTTTATGACATTTAAAACGCCTTTTTATTTAGTACTTATTGGATTTACATATTAAATCCTAGATTACTAAGCTGAAAACATTTTAGCTATCAACTTTTGCGTCGATCAAGGGAGTCTGAAAACTTAGCAGAAGAAAAAGAGAATATTGTAAATGCTTTAAAGGAAAAAGAAGAGATCTGATCGACTGTTTAAAATGAAAAGGGAATTCGGATAAAACAGTTTTCCTTTAAAATAAAGGGAAGATTGTTGTTGTCTCGTTAGATGATATTTTTTCCCGTTACTTCTTCCTCTACTTTGAGCCACGAGCCAGAAATAGCTCGCCATTATTAGCAATCGATCTTCAGTATTATCCCTGATTACAGGTACTGCCATAGTCAACTTTGATAATGTTTTAAAATGTACAGTGCGCGAAGAATAAAACTTATTAATATCTTCAATATAATCCGTTCACTGCACAAATCGATTAGCTTCACTAGCTTTTATACGTTTAGAATCAATTTCACAAATAAGTAACAAATAAGTCTAGTAAAGAGTAACATCAAAAAGATATTCTAAAAAGAATTTTATGAAAAATGTATATTTTTTATCTCATTTTCAACTATTTTTTTTCTATGGAGTCTAGGTATGCAGTGAGCAGCTCATATAATGATCAGATTTTCAGAGCTCAATGACAATAGTTCGAGAGCAAAACCATAACTACGTTAATTAATAAGCAGAGAGGACATAAGCAAAGGTTGCGAAATCTAACGAAAACATTATTTCTTTGGATACTTTTTTTCTTATTTAGCGGATTTGGATTCGTGATGCTCAAAGTATTAGCGTCGGGTAGCCGCAATCTGGAATAGTTTGGGCCAGAGAGAGGTCAGAGGTTTTAAACCATTAGTGTTTGTTTCCCTTTTTGCGTATTACGGCGATTGTATCGAATTTTTAAGTTTTTATTTTTAAATATCGATACCATAAGAAAACATCCACAAAATTTACGATTTTAAACCGGCAGCTGAGTTTTTTTTTTGTACAAAACCGGGAAATTTACGAAGGAAATCCCTTGTTTCAACTGTTTTTTACCATACAAGAACAAGTTTTTTCCTTAAAAATTATGAAGAAAACCGGTATCATCGGAATTTTTACCATAACAAAACAGGTTTTTGCGACAAAAATAAATCTGTTGTCTCATGCGGTTACAAGTTTTCTCTGTGACACCAGATGTAAATATTATGTTGACAGAATTTGTATCGACCAGTCATCGATGAAATTCGAATATGGGTCATCCATTGAGCCACTGCGGCTCAAGCATTTTAATATGAATTGTGATAGTGTGAATTTCGCTTCAATATTGTATTCAATATCTTTGCAACTAGTATTCAATATCTTTGCAACTAGCTATAGTGCCTTCCATTTACAGCACAAGTGTCACAATCAGTTTTTATATACTTAGACCCTAGATTAAAAGGAAAAAGATTGGAGGCACCAAAAATATTCATTTGATTCGACTCGACATTCTATTTTAATGGTCTGAAAATTAATATAAACTGACTCTATAAACTAACACAGATGCCGGTACAACAAAGCATCGTTTCTCAAATGACCTGAAACAATATGTCGAAAATATTTAACGATATGCAGAAGGCTACAATTTAAAAAGCTGGCAAACCCAATACCAGTTTGTCTTTATATCATTAAAATACACCAGTCTTTATTAATTGTATAAAAATGATGAAAAACCGTGGAGTAATTTTAAAGACATTTTATTACATTATTATTTAATAGACAATGGACTGATGAATGTTTTTTCCCCAGAGAGCAAGCATTAAAAACTTGATTAAGTTGAGGAGTTTCAGAAATGATTCTCTCATTTAAAGAGTAATATTAAATGGTTTTCACAATTAACGAGTACCATTAAAGAGTTTCATTAAAGAGTATCATTAAAGAGTTTCATTAAAGAGTATCATTAAAGAGTATCATGTTATAAAAGTATTCAATTCACGTACAGTAAAAGACTCCCGTATATTTAATTAATACTGATACTTTTAAAAGCTCTTTCTCCACATCCCACTTCAGAATAATTTATCTCAAAACCTGTTAATGATTACTGCATAGCATTTATAATGTGTCTATTTTAGTTTTATTACTTCAGATTGTCATAGAGAAATTGTGGAAACAATTTTATATTATATTGTATAATCTTTTTTTTTGCAAAATAATCTAAAGAAAAATGCGAAATTTAAATAATATTTTTAAAAACATAAAAAAGCTACAAAATGAGGCAATTTAAACTACAGACATTTTTATTCAAATTAGTCAAAAACATGTTGATATAAGAGTAAAATATTTTAAGTTACATTAAAAAATAGAAACATCATTATTTTTAAATTTTAAAATAATTTGAAAGTAGACACATAGAAGATTTCTAAACATATTTGCATGGCCTTTGTATGAGGCAACATTACAAAAAAAAATCAAATTATTGCACACATTTTTAAAACAAAGTTACAAAATGCATCCCTGACCCCCTTAATAGTTTTGTGTGGTTTATACAAAGATAGAAAGTATGGTAGTGTAGTGATTAAAAAACTCAGTGATTAAAACAATGAGCTATCATTGTGGATTATTGAAGCTCGATTCCCAGCAGCGGCTTGAACATCACTCAGTTTCAGATCGGTGGCTACCAGCTTGTCTGGGAAGTAAAAGTTGCGGTGCGCATTGCTGACCACATTACAAGCATTGTGCCGTTAGTCACGAAATTGGGGAGCCCTGAACCTCCACAAACCTCCTGGCCCACAATGGGCTGTTAAAAGAATGTTCTAGTGTTTTAATTTGAATATGCTGAATTTTCAATTCAGATGAATTAATATCAGTGTTCATATAACAACGAATTAGAAGCAACAAGTTTATGTTAAATTCCACTGTTGCCAAATTACCAATAAAATGTTGCTTTTCTATATATGTACAATAATATTTTTTACTTTTCAAGCATGTATTGTGTTTAAAATTTTAAATATGAATAATCTCTTACATTTTTAAGAGTGTCGAATAATATCTTTTTTAGTTTCTTTTCTTTTAGGTGATCTGTCTCAGGAGTCGAGATACAGAGGCCGACCTTGCTTGAGGAGATCCGACATTGCACACATTGAAAGAGCCAGAGCAAGAACACTGCGCATGACCATTATCATTGTATGCACATTCTTCTGGTGCTGGACACCATATGTGGTCATGGTCTTGTGGTATCTTTTCGATCCAGTCTCTGCCGATCAAGTTGATACTCGCATCCAGTCCTCTCTCTTCATGTTTGCCGTTTCCAACTCTTGTGTAAATCCATTAGTGTACGGAAGTTATCTTCTTAACTTCAAGCAGATATTTAGGAGATGTTACCGCAGGTGTCGAAATCGTAACATGGGATCAATGAACCAAACACAGATCACAACCCCTGCAAGGACTTACGCAACGTTTCGAAATGGTAACCTCGCTCGGAGAAATATATCTGTTCACCTAAATATTAGAGGAAATGGAACATACCCGGCATTAGTAGAGGAATGTAACAGCCACCTTCCTCCAGAAGTTCGGCAACTCCGTATCAGTAATAGTTGTGGTAAAATCTACACAAAACCTTTCTCGGTGAACACTCAAACAGAAGCTGAAATCCACAGTTGGGATCGATAAGGAAGACCGGAAAATATCATTTCATTTTTTATAACTATTATTTTAAGGCCCTATTTGAATTGCTCAACGTTTCCTTATTTGATGATTTTAAGATCCAGGGTACTTTTAATTTTTCTATCTTCTCTGATTTTGTTACCCTTCAATTTGGAAGCAGAGAGAAGCTGAAGGTTAATTCATTTATCTTTGTTCTATATAATTGACTCCATTTTATTAATGAATTTAAGAAAGAAGATTTAAGAAAGACTCCTTGTTTTTAACTTTCGCAACATAAGCAGACAAAAAGAGCTAATCTATCCCATTGGTTAGACTAGATGGAATAAGCAACAAACAACAAATATGTTGTTAACATGTTTGTTGTTAGGATTTCTTTTCCTTATTTGATTAATTTATTTAATAAATTTTAAAAAAAATTAATACCTTATAACTTATTGAAAACTTTTTAAGAAATCTGCATGATAAATTACTCCCTAAGCGGAAAGCAGAACTTATCAAATAATGAAGAAAATGACGTGGTTGTTAATTTGTAGACTTTAAAATTATCATTATGCGAAAAAAAACTAACGAAAAGCTGGAAGTTATTTTAAAAATTGATTTTGGCCAAATGCAAATATACTTTCTTCCCAGAGGAGAGATTGATAGTCGATATTGCACCTTCAAATGGAAAGGCAGTGTTCAAAAGAGGAAGAACTTGAACACTTATATCTAGACAAATCAGTTCTTAATACTGATGTATCATTACACATTGAAGCGAATGTAACCTTATATAAGTTGCCAGAACTAAATATTTATGGGGCAGCAGTGCAAATTTTAAATATTACCTATGTAGGCGAACTTTCATTACTGGGTATCAGAAGTATTTTTCCCGTGTCCTAAGCTGAATTGAGTAAGATTAAAAACAATAAAGGGCACGTTTAATAGTTCAAAATGTTCTAAAAATATTTACGTACGTAGATGGTTCAGTTTTGTACTAATAATATTTAATATAATTTTGTATTTTACTTGTGAGAGATTCTTAGAACGTTGAATGTTTCATTCAGTGCGTTTTTTGGCTAAATGAAAAGAGATCAAAACTAAATAGATACAATTAAGAGTTTTCTGAAAATTTAAGAAGCTTCTGCGCATGAAAAAGAACATAACTTTTTACTTAAACCCAATTGTGCTAAATATAATTAAATAAATATTCAGCCGATAGCGCAAATCATTTCAAATCTTTATCCATTTAAAGGTACTTGTCAAAAATATAGTGTTATACATGAAACACTCAAAACTTTTTAGTCTGATAAATTTAAATTTTATCGTTTCGATTCTGCGATCAACAAAAATAGTACTTCAGTCTTTAAATTTCTAAGGGTATCTTGTGTATGGTTTCACTTCAACAAGAAAAAAAAATCGAAAATTATTGATCAAAAATCTCGAAATCAATGTTTAAATTTCGTCCTTTTTGATTAACACCACTCACTTAACCCCCCTCTCCCCAACAAATTTCTAATTTAATGTAACTGCTAAGTTTGTCTCGGGAGTAAGGAGCAAGCTTTAGGTATTGAGCACTTTTTTTTGACTTAAAATTTTAAATAAAATCATTGCATGGTTGTAAATTAGAAAAAAAGAGAACATTGTTTGACTGACATACAATCTTGATTATTATATTTATCAAAAAAGAATTTCTCAATATTTTTCGTTATAATAATACATAATTTGATCACGTGGCAGCATTTGTTTGTTATAACAATATATTTTCTATTTATTTTTGAAATTTGTTTTTTGAAAATTTTTTTGTAGCATTTCTCATGATGCTTGCAAATTATCTGCGAAGATTTCGGCATTCTGTGATTATACTTGAGCATAATTATTTTATTAACAATTTTAGTATATTTAAATAAACTTATGCTTATGAAATTATGCTTATGAAAAATATTTATTGCTGCTCTTGTATGATCTCTAAAGCCATTCCAAAAGTAAAGTATACTTAGAATCTGGTCATTCTCTGAGAAAAGTGGGACATTTGTGCTCCTTGCTTTTATTTTATTTTTTCCCTTAATATTGTGATTGTTTTCTTTTTAAAAAAATATTATAAAGTCTTCAAAAATCACGCATTCCAGAAGTTGCTAGTTATTGATATCTGATATATTTTACAATTTGATTTATTTAAAATATATATATATANTTTTTAATGGCGGGCACTTGGAAGTATTGTCCATTGGCCACAGAAAGTGCCAGAACTGCTAACTCCCTTTTCGTCACCCAGTGGGTACCTGTGGCGAAGCCACGGCGGTGAAGCAGCGTCGCCCACGTCACGCTACCACAACCCGTTTATAGGGCGGATCACATTCACACACAAAGGAGAAAGGACATAGAACACAGATAGAGAGAAAGAAACATTGTTCAAGTAGCCTACAGA